TGAAATCTTAAAAAAAAAGATAATGAATGTATAAAAAAAAATAAAAAATAGTACTTTGATCCAGTGCTTCAGGCCACACCCCGTGCCCCCAAAGCTGCCTGACCAGTGCCAAATGAAGTAGTTCCTTTGTTCCATGGCCACCAAGTACAGGCCTGATTTGACTGGCCGGTTGAACCAGGACAGTGTGGGACATTTAGCGCAATCCATCCCACTCCACTCCTGGCTTCAGGCCATCTCCCACGAGGGTCATTTGCAGTCGGGGCACATCCACCACCCAGCTGTCCCAGCTGTCCGTGTTGCCTGCTGTGCTGTGCTGTTGGAAGGTATGAGACCTGGCTCAGAGTGTGCTGGGGTCTTTATCGGTCACCTTAGGGTGGCATAGCCTCTCCCTAACGTCTGCCATGCTGGCAGGTTACCCCAAGGGCCACCCCGAGGCAGGGAGCTTTGAGGAGGATCTGAAGCACCTGAAGGAAAAGGTGTCTGCCGGAGCAGACTTCATCATTACGCAGCTCTTCTTTGAGGCTGACACTTTCTTCCGCTTTGTGAAGGCCTGCAGCGAGATGGGCATCACCTGCCCCATCCTCCCTGGGATCTTCCCTATCCAGGTGAGGCTCCCTAGTTGCCCTGCTCCCCGTCTCAGCAAGGCCAGGCCCTGGGGGAGGCGCCAAGTTCACTGAAGTCCTTCCGTGAGACGTGGGGGCCTGGCACAGCATGGTGCTGCTCTGCTGTACCTCACTGTGGTCCTCTGCTGACCCCTCAAAAAACAGCACTGTCTATGAAGGGTGTATACTTTGGCCAGCTGACAAGTGTCACCACAAGGGATTGTGACTGTATTTTTGTTGTTGTTGTTGTTTTAAGAAAGGGTCCACAGGGTGTTCAGGATCTCACTACTAGATCGGACTTGTAGTTATCTGCCTGTTTACAGCCTCCCAAGAACTGGGATTACAGGCAGTCAGGCCACCACACCCAGCCTCAATTGCCATTTCAGCATGCCCCAGGGCAGGGCTGTCACATGTGACTGTATATTAATTTTGGTTAAACTACTGTTTCTCAAACTTGACCGTCATCAGAACCCTCTTTAATAAGCTTTTATGAAAGCTGGGGCTTCAGGCTCCCCACCTCTAGGGATTCTGGGTGGGCCTGCAGGTCTGCATTTTGCTTCTCAAGTTTGGTGGATGATTCTGATGGTCAGCAAAGCTTGGGAACAGTGGGTTAGGTGACCACCGTGTTATCAATAAATACAGGTCAGGGTAAAGGGCTGGCTCAGGTGGTGGCAGTTACTGCAAAAAGCAAACAGGACCAGCCCAGTGTGGCCCTGCATGCAGCCTGGCTTTCCTGAGTTCCTTCAGTGACGCTGCAGTGGCCAGGAATCCGGTGGGCATGAGAATGGCCAAGTCAGGGTGGGAGGTGGCTGGGAGTTAGCCCAGTGCTTCCCATGTCCTGGGCAGAGCTACTCCTCCCTCCGGCAACTGGTGAAGCTGTCCAAGCTGGAGGTGCCACAGGAGATCAAGGATGTGATAGAGCCAATCAAAGACAATGATGCTGCCATCTGCAACTATGGCATTGAGCTGGCCGTGAGCTTGTGTCAGGAGCTTCTGGCCAGCAGCTTGGTGCCCGGCCTGCACTTCTACACCCTCAACCGCAAGATGGCCACCACTACGGTGCTGAAGCGCCTGGGCATGTGGACTGAGGACCCCAGGTGAGGGGAGGGGATGGCGCACACGTGTGGGGCTGGGGGGTGCCCCCCTATGGCAGCTGCAGCTGTCAAGTGAGGCTGAGTGGCACCTCCTCCTCCCTGCCAATTCCTGGTCCTCTCTGTCTCCACTGTCACCAGGCGTCCCCTCCCCTGGGCCATCAGCGCGCACCCCAAGCGCCGAGAGGAAGATGTGCGCCCCATCTTCTGGGCCTCCAGACCAAAGAGCTATATCTACCGCACCCAGGACTGGAACGAGTTTCCCAATGGCCGCTGGTGAGGGCCACAGCCCCTCAAGGCCGGCAGACCCCGGAGGAGGTGGGCAGGATGGATGGGGCAGTGTCCTGGGCACCACGGGGTGGTAGCTGCCCCAGCAGGAGCCCAGGGAGTGGGCTGTATCCTGACCGGTGTGCACCCCCTGGCCAGGGGCAATTCCTCCTCCCCCGCCTTCGGGGAGCTGAAGAACTACTACCTCTTCTACCTGAAGAGCAAGTGCCCCCAGCAGGAGCTGCTGAAGATGTGGGGCGAGGAGCTCAGCAGTGAGGAAAGCGTCTTTGAAGTCTTTGCACACTACCTCTCGGGAGAGCCAAACCAGCATGGCCACAAGGTGAGCAGTATGGGGCGGGACCTCTGGTCACCCCTGCCTGGCCCCAGCTGCGGCCCATCAGCAAGGGGACATGAGTGAACTGGGAAGTCCCCTGGGAGGGAGGGAGGGAGGGAGGGAGCTGCCCTGGCCCAGCTCCTGCCCCTGCTTCTGCCAGGTGACCTGCCTGCCCTGGAACGACGAGCCACTGGCAGCCGAGACCAGCCTGATGAAGGAGCAGCTGCTGCGTGTGAACCGGCTGGGCATCCTTACCATCAACTCCCAGCCCAACGTCAACGGAAAGCCGTCCTCTGACCCCATTGTGGGCTGGGGCCCCAGCGGGGGCTATGTCTTCCAGAAGGTTGGGAGGGTGCAGGGGCTTCCTGGGACTAGGGCACAGCGCAGACTCTGCTTTTTCTGCCAGGGTTCTTTTCAGTGACTGGAGCACAGGAGTGCAGGCTATAGAGTGGACAGACCCCCAGGCAGGAAGGTCAATGGACCTCAGTTTTGTCTTCTGTAAAATGGGCTATATTTCGTGTTAGGGGACAAAACTTCCAGGAAGCAGCCTCTGAGTGGGACCAAGACTGCACTGCTGGGGTGACATTTTCTCCCATGGCTGTTGGAGTTGACATGTAGAGCTCAAGCCTGACTCAGAAGCCCTGGGTTAATATCCACTCTGCTGTCCACTGTTAGGGTAGTGCACTGACTCAGCATCCCCAAAGCCAGTTTCTTTGTTTGGGAACACTGTACCATCGACCCAGGGTGCTGTATGCCTGCACGGTCCCTCCCTGGACAGGCACAGGCAGGAGGGTGGGTGCCCGGGAGGGCTGCAGCACAAGCGCACTCAGGCACAGGGAAGGGACATCTCAGGGGCTGGGGCTGACGCCTTGGCTGCCTGTGCCCTCAGGCCTACCTGGAGTTCTTCACCTCCCGAGAGACAGCGGAGGCACTCCTGCAGGTGCTGAAGAAGTACGAGCTACGGGTCAACTACCACATTGTGGATGTGAAGGTAGGCAGCGTCTAGCTCCCGGCTCCATGCACTGAGCAGGGCACCACGTTGACTCCGAGGCCTCTCCCAGCCCAGGCATTTGTGCAAGAGACACAGGCCTCTAGCCCCAGAGAGCTCCCAGCATAGCGAGGGGACAAAAAGAGATGATCACCTCTCAGCACAAGTGGAGAGTGAAATGAGGCTCCGCATTGGATGCCGCAGGTTCCAGAGGAAGGACATTGGACCGCACTGGGAGCCTGAGGCAGGAGGACCACACAGTCAATCCCAGCTGGGCAGCTTGGTGCGACCCTGTCTCAAAATTTAAGAGCCAAGCATGATGGCACAGCTGTAATCCGAACACTTGGGAGGTAGAGGCAGGAGGAGCTCCAAAAGTTGGAGGCCAGCCTGAAATACATAGTGAGACCCTGTCTCAAAATAACCCAAAAATTAGTTAATTGATAAAAAGGAACATAGGGATGTAGCTCAGTGTGAAGGCCTCAGCGCCAAACAACCTGGAAGGGCAGAAAGCTTCTGGAAGGTGTCCCATGTGGCCTGAATCTTAGCGACAAGAGGAGTTGGCAAGTGGGGGGAGGTATTTAGCAGGGCCCAGGGGCTCTGTTGTCCTGCTTGGAGCTTGGGGGTATCCTAAAGGTAAGAGGTGCCCCCCCCAGCAATAGCATGACTTAGCTGTATTTTGTCTGGGGCAGAGGGCAGCAGGCAGCTGTGTGGGTAACAGGGCTAGATGGGGGGCACAGGGAGGACAGGTGGGAGCTGGCCAGTGCTGTCCCCAAGTAGGAGGCTGTTCAGGTGACCATCCTTGGTCCTTGCAGAGAGCCACACCACTCAAGTGCAGACCCTAGAGGGGCAGTGAAAGGGCTGCCGCCGGCTTTGCCTCATGTCCATCCTCTGCCACCCTTCCAGGGTGAGAACATCACCAACGCCCCTGAGCTGCAGCCCAATGCTGTCACGTGGGGCATCTTCCCGGGGCGAGAGATCATACAGCCCACAGTGGTGGATCCCGTCAGCTTCATGTTCTGGAAGGTAAAGGGTGGAAGGAGCCTCCCCCACCCCCTTGAAAACCTTGAAGAGACAGCACTGCCCAGTCCCAAGGTTCTTTTTTTTTTTTTTTTTGGTGGAACTGGGGATTGAACTCAGGTCCTTGTGCTTGCCAGGGAAGCGCTTATTCCACTGAGCCGTCTCCCCGGCCCCTAGTCCCAAGGTTCTAACTAAAGGCCACAATCTCAGGGCCAGCAGAGTCAGCCTTCAAGGCCATACATGCTCACTAGTATTTCTGAGGTCAGTGGGAATGGCACAAGCCTTGGGCCTTGCTCTGCTCCTCTACCTGTCCACTAAGGCAGCAGCAGAAGCCCCGGGCGTGAGGAGCTGGCTCGGAGGCATCCTGTTGACCTTGCGTGTGTGTGTGTGTGTGCGCACGCGCGCGCGCACGTGCGCCCACACCTGTGTAGGATGAGGCCTTCGCCCTGTGGATCGAGCAGTGGGGCAAGCTGTACGATGAGGAGTCGCCATCCCGCATGATCATCCAGTACATCCACGACAACTACTTCCTGGTCAACCTGGTGGACAACGAGTTCCCAAAGGACAACTGCTTGTGGCAGGTGGTAGAAGATGCATTCGAGCTGCTCAATAGGCCTGCTGCGCTCTCGTGGGAGACGGAGGCACCGTGACCTGCACCTGCCCCTCCCTGTCCTGGGTCTCCCATGCACCCCCAAGCCTGGCCCTCACCGCCTACATAAGGATGGCAGGACGGGAGTCAGCCCTTCATGGGAGCCTGGTGTTCCCTGCACCATCAGGATGTTGTGCTCTGTCAGTGAGGGATACCTCCGTGCTGAAAGGGGCCACATCACTCTCCTGGGAAGGAAAGGACATTGGTTTTGCAGCTGAGCCCCTGGAGCTAGCCTGGGACATCCAGAGAACTTGTACTTGGGGCCCCTGCAGGATAGAATAAGTGTGGGCAGCAGGCTCTTGTGAGATGAAAGAATGAAGGTTCTGGGAGGAGGCAGCCAGAGCCCCAGGACCTGGGACTGAAGGAGCAGACCGCTGACTCCTGCTCAGCTGGCCTGTCGGGCCGGCTCCTAGCATGCCAGGACATCTTGGCCCCTTCTACCTGCGGCCTTGGCCGGGTGCATCCCCTTCTGCAGTGCTGTTCTTCGCAACAGCAGTCTGTGTTCTGCTGGTGGAAGACATCAAGGGCCCCTCGAGCTTGCTGGGGCCCTGAGGTTCAACTGATGGAGACGCCAGCTCTGCCCAGCACAGTGTTCAGCCCCTCTTGCTGGCTTAGTTTTAGCTGCTGGTTAAGGCCTGTGACTGTCACATGCATGTGACCTGCTGCTGTCCTGGACGCCAGCCTGCTGGCTTGGCTGGCCCAGCAGAAAGGAGAGCTACACGCAGCGAGCCCCTCTGCCCTCCCCTGCGTGCCCAGCTGGCTGAAGTGGAGGGTGGCTTCAGAAGGTTGTGCAAGAGAAGCAGCTAGGACCACAGAGGCCTTTATTGTACGTGAGCTCCTGGCAGTGTCGCTGTATTCCATGCATGTGGGCCATATTCCAGCTTGCTGGTCCATGGGGACAGTTGTAGCTGCAGCTGGGCCCTGGCCCTGGCCCTGCCCCACATCCTCCACAGCCCAGGGGTCAGGCAGTGGCCAGCCTGTTCCTGGAGACTGCTACCTCTCCTTGGGCTCCTGGCTGCCACATGCTGATGCCACCTCTCAAAGGCCTGGAATTAGGGAAGGCTAGGAGAGGCCACTTGTCTCCAGAGTCCTGCAGGGCCTGTCTCTCAGCCCCTGTGGGAGCCCCTCCCCCTGCCCTGGCAGCCGGGCCAGACACACAGGCTCAGAATAGCTCTGCCTTGTGACCTAGACAGCCCCACACCAAGAGGAGCAGGCGCTGCTGGATGCTTGGGACCTATCCCCCAGCAGCTACTGTGCTACAGGTCAAGCCTTGAACCCACTGATGGTGACGCTGGGCTGAGCCCGTGGCCACCAGTGAAAGCCCGGACACCACCATTCAGGCTGCACATTTACCTCCCCAGAAAACAAAGTGGTGGCACGGAAGACCCCCCCCCCCCCGCGCGCTGTGCAGCGTCCAGAGGCACCCATGGCTTGAAGGCCAGCTGGTGAGGTGTCCTGAACACACTACCGCACCCGGGAAATGACCCAGATGTTTTCTCGCTCCTGTAGCTGCCTGGCCACTCGCAGCTGCAGGACCCGCCACCACTACGCCCTCCAGGCTTGTCCTAGTGCCACTGCCTGAGCTGAGGGTGGAGGTAACCAGAGGAGCCCCCTCAGTGTGCTCCCAATCTCTCCAGCCCTCTGCCTATCTTGCAGTTGTGTGACGCCAAGGTGGCCAAGGTGGGATGGGTGGGCAGGGGAGGGTGGAATCCAAGGAGCCATGGGTGAAAGATGCTATTGTAGGGTCAGGAGGAGGGTGGGAGATGCAGCCAGGACATGGGAGGCCACCAGGCCCACTCAGCAGGCTCCAGGACAGCTGCTGGGCTCCTGGAGCATCTGCCCAGCACTGCCATGTCGCCCTCGGGGGCCTGGCTGCTGGGAGGCCTGGAACCTGCGGAGCAGAACCTCACTGAGCCGTGCTGTAGGTACTTCCTCCTGGAGGAGACCAAGGTGTGACCGCATTAAGGCCAGGAGGAAGACTGCTTCTGATCTCTTGTCCCTCCAGCTCCCTGTGGCATTGAGACCTGGCCTCATGCCACCCCAGTGTGTTCACGCAGCCACCCACCCATGACCCAGCCTGCTGGAAGGACCCACACCTTAGGGGGCTTGGATCACAGAGCCATCCTGGTGCTGTAGGGGTCCTGCTCAGGGCCCAGCTACTGTGTTCAGGCCACCTTGGCCACAGCTGGAAGCAAGGACAGAGGGGACACTCCCTGGGGCCTGCAAAAGGGAATTAGGGAGTATAGCTTTAGGGTGGTGGTGGCTCAAGGCAGTAGATGGTGAGAAGCCTACAGTCTTCCCCTCCCCCTTGTCCCTAGGACCTCTGCTGCTCCAAGAGAAATAAGGGGGCGGGCAGGAAAGGAGCTACAATCTCTGAACTGCCAAGAGATTTAAAAAGGAGGAAGTGGATGAGGAAAAAATACACAGTAGCCAGACTGTTGGCAGGGAATGCAGTTCCAGGCCCCAAGGCCCGGCCATGCCTCTCCCCCGCCCTCCATTCAGATACCCAGGGGCTGGGTCTCCTTATTGTCAGCCCCTGCCACTTACCCTTGTGTCCTCGGTCCACTGTGACTGTGCTTTGCCCCAAACCATGTGGCCATGTGTCCAGAAGCTTTGTGTCTAAATGACAGAAGAACACCTGAACATGGGTGAGGATCTGCTGGGACCCAACCAACCTGCCCGCCCACCAGTAAGACCCCGTATTTGTGCACCCAAACGGGAGACTTCACTTCATCCTGAGGCCTCCCATGATCCCTGAGGACCCCAGAGGAAATGGAGCAGGTGCTCCTGGGCAGTGTGGCCCATCCTCCCACCTGCTGAACTCATCCAGTCAGAAGGGAGAACCAGGGCTGGTGAGATGGCTCAGTGGTCTAAAGCACCTACTTAGAACAAGCTTAGCAAAGCACAGGGACCACGGTTCAATCCCCCAGCACCACAT